TCTCTGATTGGATTGTTACATTTGTGATTGACATGACATTGACCAATCAGATGAAAGGAAGAAAAATAGGGTCAAAATTCGTACTTGTAACTTGCAGCGGTTTTTTTGGCTAAGTCCACACACAAATCTTTTTTACACACACAAATCCTGATTTACAAGTACAAAATATTTATGACCACATTTTGAGCCCATACACACACACACACATCAGACACACACACACAGAGGAACTCCACAGGTGATGATGTCACACCGTACCTGTCAGCCCGCTCCTGACTGACACACCTGAGCTCCTCTGCAGGTTTGGAGTTCAGCTTCTTCTTCTTCTCCTTCTTCTTCTTACTCAGCAGCTCATCCTGCAGACAGAAGGCCGGCCCTCATTGGCTGTTTCTATCTGCTCCTTTCGGATTGGCTGCAGCAGATATACCATGACCTCGCTCTGATTGGCCAACTCACCAGCTGTTTCTCCAGGTAGATGGACCAAATGACGGCGTAGTGCCCCACGGTGAGGATGACGAAAAGGAGGAAGCCCAGCTCGACGTTGCTCATCTTCCTCACCCGTCTGTAGTAAAACACCGGCTGCCTCCAATCAGGGAGCCCGTTCAGCAGGATGTCATCATACCTGAGGGGTCACACACCTGTCAGAACGCCAAGCTCTGATTGGCTCTCGCTGACTGACGTAGACAGACGTAAACACTCACTTGCGGCGCCGCTCCTCGTCCTTCAGGACTTCGTAGATGGCGACCAGCTGCAAATACACACACAGTCATCAGGTGTCACGAGTGTTTGTGCTGCTGTGTGTCGTCGTTCCCACCTGTCTGAACTGCGTCTCTGCGTTCTCGTCCTTGTTCTTGTCGGGGTGCAGAATCAGGGACAGGCGGCGGTACGCCTTCTTTATCTCTGCTCCCGGCGCCTCCTGAAGGGAGACAGAGGTCAGAGGTCAGCGTTGGACACCTGAGACCAGGTGATGTTTCCTCTGACAGCAGTGAGTGAAGGCCCGTGTGATGGTCGAACACGCCGCTGATCCGCTGCTGAGTCTCTGTCACGCGGCTCAGGAAACACAGCGGCGGCACTCGGAGCCTGCAGCAGAGAGCCCGGGTTAACGGCGGATAACCACCGTGGCCACAGACATCATCTCTGATGGCGTTTGAGATAACTAAGAGAAAACCTGGATATG